GTATCGTGCACTGTCATTCTATGGCTCTAAGATCATAGCTGAAAACATTCACAAGTAAGTTATTTATGTTACCTCCAAGCTACAGTTTGAACAGTTTGGCAAGTGTCATTATCCTCACCTCAAGAAGTTGAAGCATGCACTAGATAGGTACCAGAGCACATAGTTTCTAGTTTCTCATGGAAAGCATAACCAGAGGCCCACCTGTCCTCCCAGAAGCATTCTGATCTCTCTTTCACAGAAAACTGCCTCTGATTTTGGTCTTGGGACCCCAGCCATCCATGTCATAGGGCAGACATAGTAGGGGCCTGCCCTAGGTCAGCGGGCCCTAGGGCCTCCAGAAGCTTATCTGGAGCAGTTCTCCTTAAGGACCCATGCACCAGCTGGAATCATATCTTGGATTCACTGAACTGAACGTGTTTTGAATGGAACACTCGTGTGTCACCACGCATGCTTTTCTATACTAGCTTCAGTAATTAACTTCAAAGATATCTTTACACAAATCATTTGAAAAATGAATAACCCAGCTGTGAACTGGACAGAATGTGCCACGTGAGACCGTATAGAGTCTCCTAGGAAGCTTTGAGCAGTGACTTGCTAAATAAATTCTGAGCATATAAGCAGCTGACATGGAAGCAGAAGCCAAAAGAACGAGTGTCGCTTTAACTCATTTTCACCAAAGTCTCCCAAACCCAGAAATCCCTGAACTACTTCACTAATAATTGAAGCTGTACTTTAAATCAGGAAACAGGGACATGTGAGATTACAAGACCTTTAATCAATTGCTAGCGGAGTAAACCTGGGAGAAACATGGCAGCCTTGCAAGAACACGATGTGGCACAGCACGGTGACTCCCAGCTAACAGCGGCCTGCACAGCACGCTGCTGTACCGCACGCAAAAGCTAACGGCTTGTCTTTGAGGCCTTCGTCAGGGTAACGTGGCAAAGCCGAATTCCCAGAGAGGATATTACTATCGCAGGAGAGTCTGGCGCGTCAGGGCCCTGAGACCGGCAGCGGGGATTTCGTACAACACACGTCACTTCTGAACAGGCCGTACTTACATCCAGAACAACAGCCTGTGTGAGAGAGTCAAATCGGCATTTTGACTCCGGGGCAGCAGAGCACAAGCACCCTTTGCAACTCACTGAAACAAACGCGACTCAAAACTCCTTTTTCTCCCTTATTTTCAGTTAACAGAAAAAGGTCAGCTCTTGTTACCTTCCTTCAAGGCCTCTCTGAAGGATATCTGAATCACAGAAATGTTCCTATCAGCATACCATAGCCATACAGCTCAACTGTTACTCAAATCCTGCCTGTCCTCCACTGATCTGCGTTTCACTTCCTTGCAGACATGTTGTTATAAATTTTAAAATAAAACCAAGTTATAGACATTTTAAATGCTAATATCATTGCCACTGGGTATTTCCAGTAACATTTTTCTCTCAACTCCCTTTCTCTTGATGGTTCGTCCAAGACTATATCCCACGTTTGGGATCTTCACAAACTGAAAAGCATGTCATTGGTCTCTGCATATACTGTATGTTTTAAAGTACTTCATTTTCCCAGCTGTTTTAGTCTAACTGTGCTCTAAAATTCTTCTGGCAGACTCAGACTACCTCTCTGCAGGAGCTATCTTGGTGTGTGTTACAAACAGATGAAATCTTTGCAGTTTTCATGCTCCTCTGTATTTCCTGAACAACTGATGTGTAAATCTAAATCCTACTGAAATTCCCCTGGATTTTGTATCACGTTGGGATTACAGACTTGATATTCTGCTTTATATGCATTTCAAAAAGGAGAAGTTTTAGTTAGTTACGTATGAAAATGAGCAATAGAAATAGCACAAATAATTCTAATACAGTAGTAATAATAATTCTTTATCCTGACTCTTGCTATATTGCATTAGATGCTTTACTTTTACTTGTGTCATGCTTGGTATTTCTACAATGGGCCAGAACCCTTCTATGTTAAATAGGGTACACGTACATATTAAAAAGTACATTTTGAACCCAAGGAGTCTGCAATCTAAACATAAAACAAGATATCACACATGGATACAGAAAAAAGGATAATAAAACAAAAAATGTGACAATATTGATTGGCTTGATAAACAGTTGCCTTAGACCATCATCAGCCTAACCTCTGACAACTTTTTGGTACACATCATGATGAAAGGAGCACTTCAATGGGATTGGAGAAATAACCTGCTGTTGCCTTGTGGATAGTACCAGGAAGCAGAAAAATTCTTATGATCAAATCTAAGTGAGCAAAAAAATGCTTGAATCGTGCTGATCAGAATGGGGAGAGAAAAGGCTAGATTGTGAATGGCCTTGAAAGTGAAGAAAAATAGTTTATTTCTGAGCAGAAAAGAGAAGAGAAAGCTGGAGCAAGGTAATAACTAACTGTATTTGTACTGTTCATAGCCTTAGGTAACTATATTTTACATTCCCCAAAGAACAAACTTGTTCTATTAGATTTTTCCACCACTTAGATCTAAAATTGTAAGCAGGCTTGACAATGGTGGTGTTGAACACAAGCAAGATAAAATAACCATTAGGCATCTGAAAACCGCAGTTGGAGATACTGCCCAAACAGAAAAAGACAATTTCTTCTCACTTTCACCGCACAAATAATGCAACTTAAGCTGACAGAATCAAATTCTACCAAGAGTAAGGGAGAAAGGCGAGGCATCTGTGCTGCTACAGCAATAAAATGGCCTGATATTGAAATGCAGAAAGTTGTAATGGAGGTACATATTGACCCATATCTTTCTTTCAGTGGGTTGCATGAAGTGTCAAAGAGTTATTGCTTTAATATCATCTGAGATGAGGCCATTTGTTGTGGTGCATGTGTATCCAGGAAATCACAGCTCTAACCATGTTTTTAGAAGCACTTTGACACTTTATTAAATCTTCTTGATGCTCTTTCAGCACACAGTGGTCTCTACAGGCTGAGTGACCTGCCATATAGGTTAGACAGGAAGATTTCTGGAAGAGTTCCTCTTCAAGTAAGCCAGGGCTGTTTCCAGCTTGACCCAGCCCACAAAGGTCCAGTGCTACTCTCTTGTTACACTCCTATAGCTAAACACAGTTCTGCTGCCTTTATAAATTATAGAAAATCTCCAATAAACTAACAAGAGCAGGACTGGGATCACAGACTTTACTCCTCTGGAGATGTAATCATACAAAGATTTTCTTTAAAATTAGTGCTAGCCACTGAGGAGAAAGAACTGTAATTCTTTCAAAGTTTATGACAGTTACTAAACCTGGGGTAAATTCACTTCATTTAGCTGAGACTTTATAAATCACCTATTGGGTGTTTGAGGCTAATAACTCAATTAATCCCAGTCCTGTTGCCAAATGGATTTACAGAGTACCAAACGGGGCAATGTTAAACCTTGGCTTGGAAATAATTACTCTAAGAGCTGTAAATTCCACTGCAGCCAGAAGTACCTCACAGAATCACAGAATGATTGTGGCTGGAAGGGACTTCTGGAGGTTATCTGGTCCAACCCACCTGCTTAAGCAGGGTCACCCAGAGCCAGTTGCCCAGGACCATGTGCAGATGGCTTCTGAATATTTACAAGCACAGACACTTCACAACCTCTCTGGGCAGCCTGTGCCACTGCTCAGTCACCCTCACAATAAAAAAGTGTTTCCTGATGTTTAGAGGGAAACTCCCATGTTTCACGTTGTGTCCATTGCCCCTGGTCACCACTGTTGTCTTTACACCCTCCCTTAAGGTATGTGTACACACTGATAAGATCCTCCCTGAGTCTTCCCTTCTCCAGGCTGAAAAGTCCCAGCTCTCTCAGCCTTTTCTCATAGGAGAGATGCTCCAGTCCCTTAACCACCTTAGAGGCTCTTTGCTGGACTCTCTCCAGTAGTTCCATCTCTCTTTTGTACTGAGGAGCCCAGAACTGGACACAATACTCCAGGTGTGGCCTGACCTCCTACACAAGAGGACAATTTTTGTATTTTCTTACCCTAAGTGACCAGGTGTCCTGGTTTCAGCTGGGATAGAGTTAATTTTCTTCCTAGTAGCTGGTATAGTGCTGTGGTTTGGATTTAGTATGAGAATAATATTGATAACGCACTGATGTTTTTAGTTGTTGCTAAGTAGTTCATAGAATCATAGAATCATTAAGGTTGGAAAAGACCTTTAAGATCATCAAGTCCAACCATCAACCCAACACCATCATGCCCACTAAACCATGTCCCAAAGTGCCACATCTACACATTTTTTGAACACTTCCAGTGATGGTGACTCCACCTCTTCCCTGGACAGTCTGTTCCAATGTTTGACCACTCTCTCCGTCAAGAAATTTTTCCTAATAACCAATCTAAACCTCCCCTGATGCAACTTGAGGCCATTTCCTCTTGTCCTATTGCTAGTTACTTGGGAGAAGAGACCAACACCCACCTCACTACAACCTCCTTTCAGGTTGTTGTAGAGAGTGAGGCTAAAACAACTCCAGTTCCCTCAGCTGCTCCCAATAAGATTTTTGCTCCAGACCCCTCACCAGCTTCATTGCCCTTCTCTGGATACTCTCCAGCAACTCAATGTCCTTCTTGTAGTGAGGGGCCTAAAACTGAACACAGTATTTGAGGTGCAGCCTCACCAGTGCCAAGTACAGGGGCACAATCACTTCCCTGCTCCTGCTGGCCACACCATTTCTGATACAGGCCAGGACGCTGTTGGCCGCCTTGGCCACCTCGGCATACTGCTGGCTCATGTTCAGTCGGCTGTCAGCCAGCACCCCCAGGTCCTTTTCTGCCAGGCAGCTCTCCAGCCACTCCTCCCCAAGTTGTATTCCTTATACTAAGTCAAGGACTTTTCAGCTTCTCATGCTCTGCCAGTGGGGAGATGCAACAAGAAGCTGGGAGGGGGCACAGCCAGGACAGCTGACCCAAACTGGCCAAAGGGATATTCCATATCATATAACATCATGCTCAGTATCTAAAACTGGGGCTGGCCAGGGGCAGCAATTGCTTCCTGGGGACAGGCTATTGATCACTGGGTGGTGAGCAATTGTTGCATTCTGCATCACTTGTTTTTGTACATTCTTTTATCATTATTATTATTATTATTTCCTCTTTCTTTGCTGTCCTATTGAACTGTTTGTATCCCAACCCACAAGTGGGTTTTTTTCCGGATTCTCTCTCCTATCTTGTCTTGGGGGGAGCAGGCAAACGAGTGGCTGAGGGGTGCTTAGGTGCTGGCTGGGGCTAAACCACTACACCAGGAATAGATCCTTTCTACAGGAAGGTTATAAAAGGAAAATGAAAAATGGCTCTACCTGGAAGTAACGCTCTATTGTTTTTCTCCCCATTATGAACTTCACTTTTGTAGCAGTACATACTGTCATAATAATAAATAACCATACAACCATCCCCCATTAAGCTTTATAACACTCTTAGGAATACATTTCCCCACATATGGAACCGTGGAAACATAGTTAAAATCATGTTCTCATTCACATTGGTGCAGTCCTACTTACATAAATGGGGTTGCACTAGAAAGGAGCAAAATCTGTCCCCATTATCATGTATGTGTACCATAATAATTCATCCAGCTGTTT